AAAAATTTTTAGAATCCTTCCAGTACGCACAGAGCTGCAAAGATTTGTTGCACGCTGCAAGTGAATTCTCTCTTTTCGTCCCAACGAAAGTGCTGTAAGCTAAGCCGGGAGGGATAGCACTAGGAAAGAAAATACGTCGCACGTGCTTTCTGAGCTTGTCGAGTCATTTGCCGAGACAATAGAGCAATTTTCCGCTGACTTTGAGACTTTGTTGTGAATCGCACGCCGCGTGCTGCACTATAATGTTTGGCTTGCATGCTTTTCGGTAGCCTCGATTACCGATCGGCAGCGTTTTCTTACAATGCTCAAAAAATGTTTCAGGGCCCCATTAAATTTGAAGAAGGGATTCACGGCAACGCGAACTTCTTAACAGGTGATTTCACGTTGTAGCACTCCTACACCGCAGTGAAACCACCTTTACAAGCAGTACATTCGGAATTATACGCATTTATTCGTTCCTTGCGAATACTTCAAAATATTTAATAACTTAAATTCGAATCGAAGTGAATACGAATACCCTACTATTCGTTCGAATATTCGAAGCATTTGAATATTCGCACAAGCCTAGGAATAATATATATGCACCTCTTCAATCTTTACGAACACTGAAATTTTCCATAATTTAAATTCGAATTGAAGCAAATTAAAATACTATATTATTCGTTCGAATATTCTAAGCATTTGAGTATTTGCACAAGCCTAATAAATATTTATTTATTTATTTATTAGAATACCCTCAGGGCCCGTAGGGCATTACAGAGGGAGTGGGTACAACATTTATAACACACAAGAAAAAAGAGACAAAATAAAGAAACAAGTGTCAGATGCGCAAATCAGGAAGGCAACATAAGTCAACTAAAAATGTATAAGTAAGAATTCAAGCACATACAAGACAAAGATAGATAATGGAAACTGCGTATAGTTACAAGCATTGCTGAGAAATTGCAGTCTTGAATAACAAAGGGTCTGTTATTGTTACAACGGAAGAGGGAAGGTGGTTCCAATCGGCGGCTGTTTTCGGTAAGAAGGCTGCTGAAAAGAATTTGGTGGGGCAAAACGGAATGGCAACCTTATGCTGGTGATCAATGCGCGATGAGTGGTATGACGGTTGTGAAATGAGGTCTCGCTTCATTGATGGATTGTGAAAAAATATCTTATGAAAAAAATGCAGTCGCGCCAGTTTCCTCCGGACAGTTAAATTGGGTAGGTCAAGATTAGATTTCATTTCTGATATGCTAGCAGTACGGGAATAATTAGAACAAATGAACCGAACTGAGCGGTTCTGAACAGATTCTAACGCGTTAATTAAATTTTGCTGCACGGGATCCCATATAGCGGACGCGTACTCAAGCTTTGGGCGAATTAGTGATCGGTATAATAGAATTTTAAGGGACAGCGGAGCGCAAGAAAAGTTGCGGCTTAAGTATCCTAGCGTTCGGTTAGCGTTATTACAGATGTAGGTAACATGCATGTGCCAAGATAGATTGTTGGTAATGTAAACGCCGAGGTACTTATATGAAGAGACATGCTGGAGGGGAACGGCGTTAATTCTGTAGGTACAGGGGGGAGAAATAGATCGCCGGGTTATTGACATGCATTTAGATTTGTTAGAGTTGAGAGTCATAAGCCATTTATTGCACCAGATTGAGACAGTGTCAAGGTCTGACTGTAGAAATTGGTTATCATATTCATTGTTTATTTCGCGGTAAATTACACAATCATCTGCAAATAACCTTATAGCGGAGTTAATGCTGTCTGGGAGATCATTAATATATATAAGGAAAAGTAAAGGGCCTAATACGGAACCTTGGGGTACGCCGGATGTTACTTTAGAAAGAGGTGAGTTATAGCCATTAGTTGTTACAAACTGAGTGCGATTAGTCAGAAAGCATTCAATCCATTTAAGAATGTTCGGGTCAATGTTTAAGGCACTAATTTTCAGGAGGAGTAATTGGGGAGGTACTTTATCGAAAGCTTTTTGAAAGTCAAGAAAAATGCAATGCACAAGTGAGCCGCGATCTAAAGCCGATGCTATGTCATTAGTAAAATAAAGAAGTTGGGTTTCACATGAGTAACTTTTTCGGAATCCGTGCTGGTAGGGAGTAAAAAAAGAATTTGATTCTAGGAATGAGACAAGGTTGGAGTAAATTATATGTTCTAACATTTTACAAGGAACACTGGTTAGGGAAATTGGTCTGTAATTGAGAGGAGACTGTGTGTTACCAGATTTGTGCAGAGGGACCACCTTCCCCACTTTCCAGTCAAGCGACAAAGTGGAGGTCGGAATAGATTGCGAAAAGATTAAGGACAAGTAAATTGATGAATACAATGCAGTGTTTTTTAGAAACTTTGAGTTGATTTCATCTACGCCACAAGAAGAGGATAACTTAAGCTTGTGAATTAAATTTTGCACTCCAACGGCATCAACGGTAACAGGATACATGGGTAAAAAATCACGACTAGGCATTTGCCGCAACGCAGAAGCAGAACAACTTGAAAAAGAAGTAACAAAAAAATCATTTAATGCAATGCAACACTCTTCACAGCGAACTGGCTGCCCGTCTGAGTTCGTAAGCGAAATGTTTTTCTTTTCCCTAGGTTTAACAGTTTTCCAAAACTTAGAAGGGTTGGTTACAAGAATTGAGGGAAGGGTATTATTAAGAAAAACGCGCTTGGCTTCCTTGATAGCTGCTCTGTATTCGGAAAGGACAGATTTGTACACGTGCCAACGGGCTAACGAATTAGTCTGCTTTGCCTGACGGAACAACCGTTTCTTTTTATTCCGCAATTTTTTTAAGTCAGTTGAGAACCAAGGGGGGCGTTGGCGACCCTTGATAACGTTTGATAAGAGTTGTTTGAGGTAATGAGTCGGTGTAGTTACTTCGCGTTTCCACGGCTCCCTGGCGTAGTTCGGCAGGACATGGCAACGGATACTTTATCTATTTATTTATTCAGATAACTACAGCACCTAATCGGCATTAACATAGAAGGGAAAAAAATACATTACAAGTGGTATACTACATCAAGAAGTACCATAACAAGATTAGCAATACAATTAATATTACAGATGACATGACACATGTGCATTCTGAACAGATCAGTCGGAAAAAAATTTAATTAATTAAAAAATAATTGAGACAAACCAAGAACAGTACATTACAGTATAACTGCAAAAGGCAGAGCAACAAAAGGTTAAAAAAAGTTGAATGCCGTGTAAAGGTAATGCGATACCTATAGGAGCTAGAATTCAGCGAGAGCATAGTAAAAAAGCGACAAGGCAACCTCCAGTAGACTATTCCAACCATGGCATGTTCTTGGAAAAAACCATGCCTATATATACGTAATGCGACAGCTATATTCTCTGACCTCCAAAGAATGATCCCGACAGACCGACCTGTAGGTAGGATCAAGGATATAGTATGTTTCCTTCCTTAGGCCTGTAGCCCGAATAAAAATTTTGTGATAATGTTTTGGGCACATGTATTCCCATCTATCCCCCAAGGTCGGCCATTTGCGATCGGCTCTTATGACAGAGGAGCATATAGTAAAGTCTTAGTTGGAGGAAACAAACTGTGCTGCATGCTTCTGAATGCGTTCTCATTTGGCAATGCAAGTCTTTGTACCTGGGTCCCATGCGGAGCATCTGTATTCCAAAATAGTGCACACATTTGAAAAGTAAAGAGTTTCTTCCAACTTAAAAGGAGCTTTCTTAAAGTTTTGCTTTAAGAAGCTTTGTAGGTTTAGAAATATATCACAAAATCATTTGAGAACTATGGCTGACAGAGTGCCACAGCTGACGGAAGACTCGTCAGGCTTTCGTCGACGCGTGTTCCGACGTTGTTGTGGCAATCCATACGCGAAAACCAGCGCAGCTACATGTGATGCACGTTACCTGCTGCATCATCGAGCTGAGCATCTCTAGTTAGTTGCGTGCAGTGCACCTACTAAGCATCTACATCTAAGTGCATCTACAGTGAGCCTACTAAGCTCACTCCGTCAGCGCCGCTCCCTGTAATGTACGCATGCATTTGCCTTGGCACAGTGACATTTTTTGCTTCGTGCTCAATGAGCCCCAGACCATGCAAAGGTGCGACGAGTGATTCGTCGGGCCAGTGCAACGGCAGCGAGTTACCTTGATTACCATGAGTAATGCCTACTTTATTGAAGCGGTCCTGCGTACAAGGATGCAGCAGCGAATGGCGCATGTTCAATACAGATACAACACAAACGGTAACAGCCCTAAACCATTAAGCCACACATATCCCTGAGGAGGCATGATCTAGATTGTTTAAAATGTTTATTGGTGGCAGCTTTGTCGCGATGACAAGCCGGCATGTTCGTTAGTGGCCGTCACCCCCCTCAGGAGCATTCCCGTGCAGTCAAAGTGCTCCCATCAAAGTCACAGTAATCACTGCACGATCTATTATTGATGCACTTGTCGTAAAGGCGCAAAATCAGAAGTAGTGACATATGGGAGCAAACATTTCGAAAAGATCGAATATTCTAGTTACTGCAAATATTCAAAACTTTCGAATGTCGTTTTCAAATCAAATACCATTATTACAATTGCAATGTGTGACGAATAATCGAAACTACTGAATATTCACATGGCTACAGGCCAACCTAAAATTTTCAGATTATTTGAATTAACCACAAGTTTAAACTATCAGTTTTGATTAGCGATAGCCTTTTGTACTTCAATATATTGCACGTGCTGAATCTACCAGCGAGAAAGAGGCAAAGAAAGAGGTGCTCATGTCTTTGTTTCGGCTATGCTTTGCTGACTCCTCACGGTACTTGGGCCTTGTAAAGCTGTTTTGAGAATGTCACCTTTTAGAACGTGACAATATCGAGGATTTCTCGAAACTAAAGTATGCTATATACTGCAGTTAAGCTTTAGTGGTATTGTAAATGCTTTGATGCCTTTACCAGTGTGATAAAATACCGAACCTATCTTCGACTGTGGCACACCACTGATGACGCACTGATGAGGCATGTACCTGGGAAAGGCTTGAAGGCAGCACGAACGCTGATGCTAACTGGTGAGTCGGTGCAAACTGTGAAGCTTTTGAAGATGCCCTGCAGGTTGGGTTCAGTGATCATCACCCGGCCTGTGGACGTCCATGGTTGGCTCCACGGCCGGATTCGGGACAGTCTGCCGCCACTCGACTGTAGGCTTCGCTGGTGTAGGCTCAGGGGGCGCAGATTCTGTAATTACAGTGACGCTATTTCTGACATCTACTGCAATGATATTTTGCACCATGTAACAAGAGCTGTTTTGTGTACTGGAAGGACACCGCAGCCTCTATGCAGAGTTGTACCAATGAAACAAGAGTGGCTATGTTGTAGAAGGCTAGCGAATGACAAAAATGCAAACAAAAAAGGAATGGCACCGTTACTAGCACATTAATGAGACATAACCAAATAAGTCCAACATAAAATCAAGCCAAGGAAAGCATAGCGGACATTTACTGTTGCATTTAGACTGTAATATAGGTATTATTCACAAAGTAACTTGAAATTGAGTAATGAGGACGAAAAATCACCATCTCAAAGGCATAATTGGAAGATTGTAGGCTCGAATCTCGCAACGCAAAGGGAGATTTCTCATCCACTTCAATTGATTTCACTTACGAGAAGACGTGAGCCGAAAAACTTGGGTGTTTTTAGAAATTACATACTTGTATTTTTATTTGCTTTCAGAAGTTTAGTTTCTTTTCTTACACGACAGAAAATTTGAAGATTGTAATTAAGCTTGAAGTACATTAAAATCACTTTTAAAGAGTACAATGAGGCTATTGAAAACAAAGAAAAGCTCATTGTCTTAAGCCTCCAGGAAATTGTCTCCTGGCTGCTTGCCAATGCATTTCACATTTCACCAAAGCCACCATGCTCAAAATAACCATCATTTCCAAGCTATCATGGAGGGAGAAATCATATTAAAAATACACCTTTGCCACACAGAAAACGGTTTCACTTATGCCATAAGAATGAATTTTTCGTGAGAATGATTTTGGGGCAATTTCTTGAGTTTGGACACCATGTTTTCGGTACCCTTTTTATTCGAATCTAGGCCAATAGCTTTTTTTTTTTTTTTTTTTCAAATTTCTTTGAATCAAACTCCAGGGTCGCCCTAGATTCAAGGATTTTGAAAAACGTGCCACTTTTTATGGAGGAAAGTGGTGCACAACTAGTGCCACCTAGACGGTATTATAGTTGTTACGGTAGTATCCAAGTCAACACCTGGCCACCACTTTGATCTTTGTGACGAGTGTTGAGGCAAGCCGTTTGTCATTTCGAGTCGCGCTTTGAGTAGTCTGTGGTGGCGTAGCTCAATGGCACCAAAGAGGCGATGCCGCTTCTAAAAGGAAAATTGTCCTAGCCGCAGAGTCATCGTCCAACATTCAATTTGGGCGGGACTTTGGAGCGAATGAAAAAAATGTGTGCCACTGGAAGAGCTGCAGCATGTGCCAAGCCTGAAATTTTTATTGTGTGCTTTTTTTAAGAAGTGCGACATATCCAATCCACTTGATAGCACCGAGGATCGCGCACTGTTTGCAGACAGCAACAAAAAAGTCAACAATGACGATTTCCTGCTGCTTCTAGCGCGGCTTCGCACTAGAAGCAGCAGGAAAAAAACGACATCAAAGAAACACACACAACAGGACTAGAAGCTGTATGGTTCTCGAGTTATTTAAATCATAAACTATCTGCTTTGTTTCATCTTCATGTTTAATAAATGATTTATTTTTCTGAACGCTGTTCTCGCTGTTTCGTGCGACCTACATTCGAGGCAAGTTTTATTTTTGTTTTTCCGGGCTTTGGACTTTAAGGGGACCGCTTAGAATCGGGGTCGGCATAGATTCGAGTAAATACGATATTTCTGGTAGCCAGACCAAGAAGCAATTCTGCCCAGATATCTCTTAACATGTAAAGAGAGGAAGTATCTCTTTTAAAGCTTGATATCACTCGTTTAAATATTATGAACCTAAAGCACGCAATCAGTATGAGGTGAGGATTTTAAGAATTCTCACATTACAATATTTATTGTCCATTGAAATGTCTTATATGCACTTTCTTGTTAGTTATTTGCATTCTACAGTTAACTTATTTATTTATTTTCAGATTTACTGCCAGCCTTTGAAAAAGGCCTTTGGCAGGAGCGGGCAGAACAAATAAAAGAATGCGAGAACATACGCAAATACGTCCACAAAACAACCGCAACAATGAGCGGGAACAAAATAAAAATAAAAATATACAATTACGCAATCAACAAAGTGACAGCAGGTACTATTAACAACTTGCTTGGTACCAAGCCAGACCTACACTGATAGAAACAATTAATAAAATACAAGACATGACTGGAAAGAGCAGGAGAAATCTGGATTGTACAAGAGGACACTGTAATTAGTAACACCACCGAGGTGCACCGCTAAACAAAGCAGAGTTACAATGTGACACACTCAACATCAACAACAAAAAAAAAGAAAAAACATCAGAACGACATTATTGTTTCACAATCACACATCAGTTGCAGATGTCGCGATACTAGGAAAGCGGAGTTGACGACAAAGATACCGAAAAAATTACAGATAATCTGACAATGTTTTAGCAAAAGAATTTAGTGTATTACAATCAATTACGTTGGATGGAAGTCGATTCCATTCACGCGTTGTTCTCGGAAAAAAAGAGTTTTTGAATGTGTCTGTTTTACAGCTAAAATCCTTTATCTTTTTCGTGTGGTGTGATCGCGTCGAGCGCTTACCAACCCGGTCGATAAAATTACTCTTGTCTATTGCCAGCTTATCATGGTAAAGGGAGTACAAAAACTTGAGCCGTTCATGCTGACGTCTCTTTTGCAATGTATCCAGCTCTGATTCTGCCAAGGTTGAAGTTACAGATACTTGGCAGAGATAGCAATTATGACAAACCTGATGCCCTTCCTTTGAACGAGTTCTAGTTTATCAATGTTGTTTTTTGTGTACGGATCCCATATAACTGATGCATATTCGAGGGAGGGCCTAATGAAAGTTTTGTAAGCCAGTAACTTTATTTCTTTGGTTGATTTTTGCAATGACCTTCGAAGGTATCCAATGTGAAGCAATATGAGCCATTAATAGCTGAGAACTGTAGAAGTTAAGTGAAAGAAGTTTGTACAAAAAGAACTATATTTTACACATTGTCATAGCACAAAACGAAAACTGTGCAACTTACTATAAAAGTGATTACAGTTTTAAAATCAGCATAAAAGCCTATACATACAACAAACAGTTTATTGCCCAAGGCTAGAGATCTAAAAAAATTTTTGTTGTGTAGCCTCTCCTTTTAATGTCTGGGCTCAGGTGAGGTTAAGTGGTGCATTGCTGTGGCTGTGCCACTTTCCAATGTCCAACCTACCAGAGCGACAACGCCTCTCAGCTTCTTCCAGTCAAGGATCTTGGCTGGCAGTGGGTGCACACTGGACAACTGAGTCAGAGCCACTCGACTGCTCAAAGCACCAGAGGGCAGGGGGCCTTTTACAAGTGGTACCACCTGCAAAACCACGTCGTTCGATTGTTTATGTGCAAATCAAAATCATTAGGACTAAAGAATGAGGCCTTGGACAGGTGAGAAAATATGCCGTGCAACCTCATCAGTTCGAATTACATGCAGTAAATCTTTTCGAATAACCGGAAATCTGAACTACAGACAGCGTCTTAAAACATGATACTGAACACAGGTGTACAATTTTCCTTTTTTCGGAGAGTGCAAAAACAGCGAGAGGCTTGTACATATATACATATGAAGTGAGCAACGAGGCGGCTCGTTGAGTGAATAAAGAAATAAGCGCCAGCAGTCAAGATGCCTATGAAAGCAAATGGAAAGAGGCGCATTGTCATAGTCAATCCTGTAGTCAAGACTGATAGTAGAGTATTTCGCAAAAGGACTGCATATCTCATTATCGCAACAAAATTCACTTTGAATGATTTCTTTCAAGAACCTCGGAAAGATGGATCGAACTCCCTGCTTTGCTACTGCCATCTCTAATTGCAATAACTTGAAGACAGACACTAGCACCTATTTGTATGTCTGCCACCTCCTCTCTGATCACTGGGAGAGTCCTTCGTTTTGCAGTGGACAAGCACAGGCTGAAAATGATGATGATGAATGAAACGAAGCAAACCTGGGTCTTCATCGTGGCTTCCACTTGTCGGGCAGAGCTGAGCGTAAACTGACGCTTAGCCAGTGCCCAGGCCTCCCTCTGCAGGGTGTCCATGGCATCGTCCACTGCCATCATCGTCTGGTGGGCACGAACAGGATCGTAGCCAATGCCGTTGAGATCCATTTTGGACAGCACGCCCAGCAGCCGCACTTCTTGCTCTGCATGATATCACGGGTAAGGACAGCAGAGCATTGAAGCCCTTAGTCACCTTTGTCGAAATGATACATTCTTTACTTGTACACAACATTCACTTCTAAAAGACGTAGGTAGAGCTAAAATTCTTGGTTGTCTTTTTGTTCTCTGACCTGTTTCATATTGCATTCATGTTTAACACCTCTCTGGTCATGCAATAAATGTAATTATTACCAGCCTTAAAACATTGCCACCAACATGACTGGATCATCGTGTAATGCATCAGTGCAATGAAATATTACGAAGGCTCTAAAAACATAGTCATATATTGTAAAACTACTGGTATACAGCAAACTTAATTTTTTTTGTGTCTTTTTTGTGAGTACTATCCTTTGCATTTATTTTTTTTTTTACGATATCTTAGCTCCTCAACAGCTGGTTAGTGAAATGCAGTTTCATGATATCATAGTTAAACCAGCTTATAAAGAGCCTCCGTATAACGAATTCCTCTATATAACGAAGTTTTTCTATTCCCCACTGTTGCTTCATAGAAGCACATGTACTGTATTGGCGACCTCTATGTAACAAAGTAACAGCGAGAGACAACCTTGATATAACAAACTTTCCCCACAAAAAATCTAGAAATTTCGTTCCGCATATTGGCATTCTGGTACAAGCGTGCAACTTCTACGACTTCCCCGCCGCCGAGGAAGTGTGAAGCGGCGGAGGAACTCAAAGCACACCGGGCAAGAGCGAGCGCTCGTTATTGCATGCGGGTGTGTGCGAGGCAGGCCTGCACCCCACGAGCCAGTGTAGCTGCCGTTTTCGTCGCAGATGGCGCAAGTGCGGGTGTGCCCCTCCCCCCCATCTCCAAAAAAAAAAAAAAAAAGAAACCTGCTTTTGCGCTGGCAGTGCCACACTCTTAATTAGCATGCCATATGTGGGGCCGCGCTGCATATAGAGGACGCTTTATCGAATAGTTTTCCGGGGTATCCGTGTCCGTGTCATTCGCTCTTCGTTTTCGAAGCCGTGCACGCGTGCATATTTTCACTGCACACACATGATGTGGCCCCCGACGATGTTCAGCTTTGCTTTTTTTTATCGCAATAGCAATTAAATGGACAGTCTCGGCTGGCTTTTTACCGTTGCCACCACCACCGTCATTTACCATTTATGTAATGGGATCTAAATATATATATGAGAACTAAAAAAAGAAAAACATCCACCCGCGCTCAGCGCCCAACTCATCATGATGCACCGACACGCGCTTACCTTCTACGCATACATTGCCCCTCGGATATAAAGGGAGGGAGAGGGAGGTAGATGCTTGTGTGGGCTTAACTTTTGGTGGGGAGAATCGCATACCTTCGACTTTGACCGGAGCAATTGCGTTTAGTTGCCGGGAGCACAAAGACCACTTCGCTAACTGTACAGGCACCGTTTGTGAAAAGAGAGCGCTTTTCAAACAAAGCGAAGTACTACTGGGGCACTTGTTAGTTCACACTCGTGTCTGTACCTATGATTACATTTCGAGTCTCGTTTGTTTAAACAGCGCATTAAGTGTCAAGCGGTAAACATTGTTAGTTCACTCTCGTCTTGTGTATGTTGTTTTAGTGTGTCATTTGTGCGTGAGCAGCGCCCTGCACGTTTCAATCTGCTTGCTGTTCTCAGCATTACATTCCAAATTGTTGCTATCGCATTCATTGCTTTGCCCTTGCGGCGAAACTGTAACTTTTCTTTTTTTAATTTCGGACAATCATGTCACCACCGAGGGGATGTCAAATTAGGCACTGATGGAAACTCTCCGACACCACAGTGACGACAGATCTTCGGATGTCTACTCGTCACACGCTTCAGTCTTGCGCCATGCCGCAAGTTCGCAGGCTCGTGTAGCTTTCGCGATTATTTATTTATTTATTTATTTATTTATTTATTTATTTATTTATTTATTTATTTATTTATTTATTTATTTATTTATTTATTTATTTATTTTATTTTATTTATTTATTTATTTATTTATTTATTTTTATTTATTTATTTATTTATTTATTTATTTATTTATTTATTTATTTATTTATTTATTTATTTATTTATTTATTTATTTATTTATTTATTAGTGCAACTTACATTACCTAAGTGGGCATTATTGTAGGGGGGGTGAAGAAAAAAAAAAGCAGTATCACAGTCAAACAAAGCACATGTTAGTGCCATCAAAAATGGCATACATTTGTGCAGTAGCTCCTGCGCATTCACGAAAAGCACACATCTTGTAGCGACGAACAAAAAGCATCGGATGAAAGGTCAACAACACATGCACCCAAATTATTCCGTTGGCGAATGGTAAAAGGAAAAAAAAAAAAGAATTTGCAAAGGCACAAGTACGACAGCTGACCTCGCAGATTTTTTTTTTTTTTTTAGTGATGCCGTAGTGTGACGCGTAGTGTGGGCTCATCACAAATGAACTTTTGTTAATGCGGATTTCCTCACAGAATATAAAACAAAAAAACTTTAATCACAAGAAATTCCTGCGCTGCTCAAGAGGCTTCCATACTAAATTATTCCTAATGCATGTAACACTGGAGATGAAACTGTATTATTACTGACAAACTGCGCTGTGCAGTTTTGTATGCATTCAAGTTTATAGACTAGAGTTTGCCCATGAAGATCCCAAACGGTACAGGCATATTCAAGGATAGGTCGAACATTTATAACATACAAAGCCCCTTTCAGACTTTTTGGGGCAGACTTGAAATTGCGTTTAATAAAGTTTAAGACACCATTGGCCTTGCCAGTTACGTAATCGATATGCTTATTCCAAGATAAATCGGTCCGACAGGTAAACACCAAGGTATTTAAAATGTTCAACACGGTCAAGTTGTGCTCCTGACAAGCTATAGGACGAGTGAAAAGGTTTCTGTTTTCTGGTAAAGCTAAGGAAGCAAAATTTTTTTACATTCAAGCACATCTTCCATTTCTCACACCACCTTACCACAGTTTCAAGATCACGTTGCAAAGCACAAATATCGTCCATACTGAGTATTGATCTATAAATAACAGAATCATCTGCGTACAGCCTCATGTTTGATGTTAGCGTCTAAAAAAGTAAAAGAATAGACCAAAAAAAGTAAAGGACCCAATATTGAACACTGTAGCACACCGGAAGTTACGCTGACGTATGAAGAAGACGAACCATTTACTCGGACGGGCTGTTTTCCAGCACTTAAATAATTCCTGAAACAACCAAGAACAGATGCAGGGAGACCTAAAAAAAATAATTTATCTAACAAGAGAGCATGAGGAACGGTGTCAAATGCTTTCTGAAAATCTAGAAATACCCAATCGACTTGATAACCCTTATCATATGAACTTGTAAAATCATGAGAAAGTTCGCACAGTTGTGTAACACATGACAGACCAGACCTAAAACCATGCTGAAATGTACAGAAAAAAAGATTTTTTTCAAAGTGCTTCATAATACCACTATATATAAAGTGTTCAAGAGTTTTACAACACACGCTGGTCAAAGAAATCCCCCTCTTTGCGTTGTTTTATGCTCATTCAAGACAGGTGGTTTACTTTCTGTTAGAGCCTTCGTTGGCAGTTGTAACTTCTAACAAGCGGGACATGTTATCTTATGCACTTTTCAGGCAGTAGAGATGGGCGCCGACTCACTTGATCTCTGCTTCAGCAGCGCTCACGTGCAATTACCTGCTCGTGAAAGTTACAATGCGCAGGGGCATGTTATCAATTTGGACTTGTTACGGAATATGGCGGCGACAACAAAAACCCCTTGAGAATATCTATAAGATTGCTTTCGCAACAGTAACGCAGTTTTTTACTGTAAAATAAGTGTTTGGGGTTAGCTCTGCCTTCAGTCCCTCTTTTGTTTGATTTGCACGTTTATTTCCCGAATTTTCGTACCAAACCTGCATGTAACAAAATCCTCTTTATAACAAATTTTTTTCCGAGAGTTGATCATTTTTGTTACATTGAGGTTTAGCTGTATGTGTACAGTGAACGTACTGGATTAGATGTAATGTATCATGTTTTTGGATGACCCTGGCAAAGCTACGCAAACAATACACTGATTTCTTCTCAGAGAGAGAGAGAGAGAATAAAATGAGGGAAAGGCAGGGAGGTTAACCAGAAAATGGAGCATCCGGTTTGCTACCCTGCACTGGAGGAAGGGGGAATAAAGATGGGGAAGAAAGCGAAGAGGGAAATAGACGCACGCAAAAAAAAGGGGGGGGGGGGGCTGGGGTGCTACAGTCTATACAATAGGCCGCTGCCACGCAAAAAGTTCAGTAAGGCCTTCACTGATTTTTTGTGAGCACACAAATCATGTCGCCTTTCCAGCACTGATTGTTCAGACAAAGGTCTATCGTCAAGGCGAGCTAACGCAGCAGCTAGTTAACGTCTTTGCAAGCTGTAACGAGGGCAGTGACAGAGAACGTGCTCTATAGTTTCATCGCTGCCGCAATGACCGCAGGCAGCACTGTCTTCCATGCCGATTCGGAAGGCGAAAACTTTGGTGAAGGCGACACCAAGCCATAGTCGGCAAAGCACCGTTATCTCGAGTCGAGAGAGTCCAGACGGAGGCCGGAGTCGACGAGACGTGTCCAGTCTATGCAGTTGCGTGTGCCGTAAGCACTCGGCGTTCCACAGGGATTTTAATTCTGTATTAGCGATTTTTTGGATTGTCATTGCAGGATCAGTCCTTGAATATGGTATAGATTCTTCTTCACCATCTTCGTGTGCTGATCGAGCAGCTGCATCAGCATGTTCGTTGCCCAATATGCCGCAGTGACTTGAAAGCCACTGAAACGTGATTCTGTGTCCTTCATCAAAGAGGTGGTGAAGCAGCTCTGTAATTTCCAGCACTTTTCATGAGGTCCCCGGCGTAAGTCGAATATCAAACACTGTAGTGCTGCCTTAGAGTCTGTGAACACGCTCCATTTCTTGGCTTCTTGCTGTTTAATGACTTGAATTGCGCTACGTAAAGCAGCAAGTTCCGCAGCTGCCGATGATGTCTGGTGGGATAACCGAAACTTCACCATTGTCGCTGTTGCTGGAAAGATCACCTACCCTGCAGACCCATCCATTTTAGTTGAAGCGTCAGTATATAGATGAGTATGCTCACTGTACTTCTCATATAACAAGAGAAGAGAAAGCTGCTTTAGCGCTGGAGACGAGAGCTGGGCTTTTGACCCTATGCCTGGAACCGTGAGTTCAACATGTGCATAGGTCATACTCCATGGGGGAGTTGAAATTCTGCATGGAGTTGTATATCCCGTAGGAATGCGCGTGCGATATGACAAGACTGTCTGGCAAAATGAGGCACGAGGTCGGGCTTCTGGCAGTGAAGCTAGATGATGGGCAGGGGCACGAGTAAGATGCCTCACGTGTGCTCTGAGCACTTCCATCATGATATGCGTCTTGAGCGGGTAGTCATTAGCGATCTCGATTGTTTCAGCTGCTGATGAACATCGCGGTAGCCCCCAGACAAACTCGCAGAGCCATAGCCTGGATGCTTTCGAGAGTCCGAATGCTGGTTCTACAGGTATTGGTCAACACAGGCAAACTGTAGTGCAAATAGCCAAGAAAAAGCGTCTTGTACAATTGCATCATTGCATGTACTGAAGTCCCCCAGGTTTTTCCTCCAAGATACTTGAATAAGTTAGCAATTTCTGTCAGCCTCTTCTTCAAGTTTCTTCTTAGAAATCCTAGAGTCTAATTGATTGATTGATTTGTGGGGTTTAACGTCCCAAAACCACCATATGATTATGAGAGACGCCGTAGTGGAGGGCTCCGGAAATTTCGACCACCTGGGGTTCTTTAACGTGCACCCAAATCTGAGTACACAGGCCTACAACATTTCCGCCTCCATCGGAAATGCAGCCGCCACAGCCGGTATTTGATCCCGCGACCTGCGGGTCAGCAGCCGAGTACCTTAGCCACTAGACCACCGTGGCGGGGCGATCCTAGAGTCCTACTATAAACTGTTATTGTTAATACAATACAAGCAGTTAATATGATAGCTTAATTTTGTCTATTACTGGCAATATTTGAAACTACTTTTGAGCCAGAGATGGACTGGGCTTTTGGAGCAATCAATATGAAGCATGAAATTTTTTGCACAAAAAACTGATTGTTGTTCACCATGTCATCTCTTACAAAAAAGTAGGGAAGTGAGTGTGCCAAACGACGAAACTCTTTCTTGGCAGAAGCAAAGCTATCTCATTCTTACCAAGGACTGAAACATTCACTACATAACACTGCTACATTAACATACGTAGTCTTTAACATTGATAACATAGTCAATACCATACACAGAAGCATAAATGTGTTTTCGGTAAGACTGTGCAAATAGTGAATTTTAGGTTCCACATAAATTCGAAGCGAAGAGTGATCTTGGTCAAATAATTTCGAAAATACTGTACATCAAAGGTTATAAAAAAGGCATATTTGCAAGACCCAACTAACTTTCACAATACTTTTTTAAAAAAGGCCTGTTCAAATACTGTCCCTTTTTGTCCAGAGAAAGTGGAAACAACTTAGAATAATAGCAGGATTCAACTTTTGGCAGACTGCGAATGATAAGCTGTAAAATAAGTTATATTTTGAAATTCACATACTTAGAGCATATAAGCCAGTGTAACAAGCTTTTAAACTTACAAAATGATTTATTGATGTGTGGGTATTATGTTGCACTAAGGCTTCGGGGCAACACAAATTTCCCCTAGACAGATGTTTTCATGGCTTAGCATTTTTACACTGCACTGAAATAACCTTAACAGTAGGTTACATGCAGACTAACATACACCTGTTCATTCATTTTGAATACTTCAATATCTTTAGCAATTTAAATTCAAATTGAAGCAAATTTGCATACATTAATATTTACTCGAATACTCGAAAAATTTGAACATTCACACAAGCCTAATTTTCAAATCTAAATAACCCTTTCACTGCCCCTCAAAAGTATAGCTGTAAATCCTGACACACCGTAAACTATTTGGTACACACAAGGGAACTACGTTTCTGTAAGAATATGCTGGTTCAGCCACTGTCGTCCGCAAGATAATCTGCCAATTTGCCATCTCTATGATCTCTCTTTCTCTTTCCATTAACATTGAATCTGTATCTTTAGAATTCGAAGTTACTTCTTTCACCTAACATCAGAAATGCAATACACTAGACTCTGCATAGTTTCAAACCCAAGAATTTATACCCCAGGCTTTTGCGCCTCAGGAATTTGTATGAATTATTAGAAATTTGAATCATCAAAAGTTCTCCTAAGTATGATGCAGCGAACATGCTAATTTGTGTCATGCTACTTATTACTTCTCAGGGCCATAGCAATTTCATAAACATCACTGGATGACTGCCACAAAGGCTTTATAGATGTCAGTGATCACACATACACGTTTCACACTGGTACTCATGCACGCAAGTGTACTTCAGGAACCAAACATGCTGCGTCCTGTGACAGCCAATTTCTTGTTCACAATCTAAGTATTCTTTGCCGCAAGGCACCAGGGTACTGCAGCTAAAGAACTTGAGCATTTGGTGAATGATCAATTCCAGACCACATTAGTACGTTTCCTACTCTTTGCTCAGTCAACATGCAGGGGTTGATGAGCACGATTTGAATAGTTTGGGTGCTTTTCTGGTAGGAAACTGGCTTTACTTGTGGCTGACTATCAAATGTTCACCTGAAAGCGACAAATGTAGCAGATATCGTCATCCAAGTTTAAGTAAAAGTTTGAATCAACCAAATTTATGTAATGGAGCCACTCGATATAAGAATGTTCAAAATACACTGAAATTACAGCGGTCCAAGCAAAATTATAAATAATAACATTATCCGAAGTTGAATGTCGTAAAACCAAGGTGAGAGATGCAAGAGTGGAGTACTCCTGAAATTTCAACTATCTGGTGTTCTTTAAAAGGGCCCTGCCACACTTTTTGAGGGTGGTCAAAAAACGCTGCTGATCGGTAGTTGAGGCTCCCGGCAACACATAATCTAAATATTATAGTGCAGCGCGTGGCCTGGAACTCACAATAAATTATCTTAGTCAGCTAGAAATTGCTTTGTCTTCTCTTGGCACATGACGATACAAGCTCAAAAATAAGTTGTCACAGCCACTGTACCAGCCATTGGTTGATTTAAGCAGGTCACGCTCAATCGTTACTGCGGTCGCCAAAAGTGGTCACGACTTGTTCACGTGTGCACGCACGCTTGCACTGAAAAATCGCATATTAAAAAAAATAGAAAAACGTGTGTCCATTTTCAAAAAATGTTAAAAGCGCATAGAATGATTAGGAATGGACGAGACAACAGATGCAAAGAGCGCTGAGTTCCTACTCATTTTTATTTCGATAATAACTGCATTTATGCAATGCAAGGGAGAGGGTGGAAGACCAAAAAAGAATAAGAAAAAGAAACATAGAAATGATGTACATTGGCGACAAACATAGATTCATCATTTCATTTACTACAAGCATATGATCACAAGCCCTAAAACTTAGCTAGGTAACCAATTTCTTTATTTAAAAGCACAATAGATGGTACGCTAATGCACCATCTATTTTTGAAAATGAATTGCCACTAACTTGCCCAAGCGTTAAATTTTTCAGAGAAAAATGTCTGCAAGGCAACAAGGCATGCGTGACATATTTCCTTTCCCTGTGCCATCACTCCTTGCCTAGCTTCTGGCACTTTCATCAGAACGAGAGAAGAGAGAATACGATTGCAGCGAGCGACAAATCTTTGTAACTTCGCTCATACTGAACAGATTTTAAAAATTTTTGTGGCGGTGAATTTGTGAGGCAATAAACTGCTCAAGTGATATCATTCCATGGCTACTTAAAAAAGTGTTGCAGAGCCCTTATAGCATACACAGACATTACAGAGTGCGTTTTGCCTCCATCAAAATGCGAGTGCTAGAGCTGGGATCGTACGTTTGTGACGTCCTTGCTCACATGAGTGTTAGCTATATATATGTATGCTGGTTGCAGGGAATAAATGTTGATGTTATCTCGTGTGCATTGAAAGCAGCTCAGTCCCTTTCCTCTGCTTCTGCTACCGGCCCAGAGTTGCATGACCTTTCACTAGGCCCCAGCACGACAGTAACTACTACTGCGCAGCAGCAGACCAAAATTTTAAATTAAAGAAAAAAAAAACTTTATCTGGAGACATGCTGAAAAGGAGCACAGAACACAGAGGTAAGACAGAAAACTAGAAAAAAAAAAGGCGGTCTATGTGTATGCATTGGGTTACATATGCACCGACAACACGAACATGGCTTCCACTCTTCAGTGTTTGTCTACTGTCTCTATTCTTTTTCCAAGATGAAAGCATACCAACTTGCTGATTTTTACATCTTTATGCTTTCATAACTACTATTTGCCTTTGGCATTGAGTGCATAAAAGGTGAAATTTATGAACAGGTCAGAGCCCTTGGCACAAAGGTTTAAACCCACTTCAAACATTTTGCTTGGGGATGTACTTCAAGGGAATTAGGTAATGTAGATGAGGCGAATTTAGCTTGACGACACTTGCCTTTGTAGAGGGAGTACATGTTGGCTCTCTTCAGGGCGGACACCAGAGGCCTCTGGAGGCGCAACACCAGAACAGACAGCCTGGCAGCAGCTTCCTCCAGGACATCATCATAGTTGCTCACAGCTGCAAATTATCGTGCTGAGTCAATCAACCATGTTTTTTTCTCTTTATTCATAATGTCTCACAACTCATTTCCTTCGGAAAACCCTGAGATATTCTCACAGTATTGTCACGGGAGTCGTAACTTAACCGAAAACAGCAGACTTGACGTTCAGATCAAGCTGTTTATTTTGCCAAACTTGTGGCCAGTGAATATTTAGTCAGATTACAGTAACACACTGACACTAATAGCGGTGAACAGAGCGTCGGCAGTCGATCAACTCACAAGCAGCGAAGCGCGTCGGTATTTATACATGTGTCGTCAAATAATCCAGCCTTATCACTGGTCTTCGTGCAAGTTCTGAAATAATTTTGAGTGTTCGCATCTTGTGCGTAATCTTAACAGAACGATCTACGATGATCGTGAACCTTCTAGAACAATGCGGCACAGTTTGCACTGAGCATTCCAGACAGGCTTTGTGAGTGATAACCGAATGAAACATAAGTGTATGAAACGCACGTGGCAGTATAATCAGTCAATCAATACATCGTATTTGTGGGCAATGCTTTTAGCATGGATGCACGCATAGCAGTGGAATACTTTTCCGTGCTCCACTGTTCTTAACCTGATGTGAGAGAACCTGGCTGAAGTCATAGTTGATTATCTTTACCAGCTGTGTACCTGTTTGATCCCTCCACAGTTAGATAGTGTTCCATGAGTTGAATAAGTCTGTCTAATGCAGCTATCAAATCTTAGCCACGGAAGTATTCGTAATTGCTGCCTGTCATTCAACTTGACAGTGGATACAGATTTCTTTTTTATGTATAAAGTGACCCACTTCATTTAAAAACTATGTGTATGGTGATAAAGCACCGTCCTGTACATGGTCGTCAGCAGTATTTTTTTTTTTTTTTTTTCAGAGGTGCAAACCAGTATTGCATTGCGGCTGGGAGAGGAAGAAAGCATTGGTGTAGCTTGGGTGAGGGCAAGTGCTGGTTATGATTGAGGGGGGCAAGTGCCCCTTTTGCACCCTCCTGCCAATGCCCATGGTCCTGTACATAACTTTAATGTTTTAAATTATTTATTTATAGCCTGCTGAATAACAAATATACTGACCTAACAGTTATAATCACCAGCATACATACATAGACTCACGAGTCCCTGATTGATATGTGGTTTAATGTCCCGACACTTCCGAGTCCCTTCTCAGCCTCTTGAAACTGCATCTCGATATGTTGAGCGTGCACCGATCAAGAGGCGCAGCACTGCTATTACAACAAAGATATCAAACATGGTCACCGTAAAACTTGGGCATCTACAAAAAAATTACTAATAATAGAAACATCAGAACAAGCCTTTTGAGTAGGGGTGTGCAATATTCGAAAGTTTCGAACATTTGTCGAATATTGCATTTGTAGTATACATTTTCAATTTGATAATCACATATTCAAAAATTTCAAATATTCGAACTGACCTGAATAATCCTCTGAATATTCGATGTTTACGAATATTTGTTCACATATGTCACTGTGAAGAACTTACGATTTTGAGCATTTGCGATAAGAGCCTCAATATATCATGCTGTGATAACTACGACTTCGGCACAAGTGCGGTGATGCCTGCATGAAAAATCACGGGAGCAAGATGATGGTTACCGAAGAATGCGGCAGCACGCCATCGCGACAAACCTACCAACGATAAACATCTCCCTTAACCCAAATAATGTACTGCCTGCACGGCAGTACATGAGAGCGCTGTTACGGTTCCTGTAAGCGTACCGACCACGCCATCTACTGCCACCCCCTTGTGCGCAGGACCGCAAGTGCGTACATATTGCTCATGGAAATGAAGGCAACTCACCGCCACTGCTTTGGCTCAACAAAATAGTTTTCATACCCTTGCTCGGTTTCGCACTGAGTGAGCAAAAGAAATAAAATAGGGAGGTTTAGAATGGCATAGCAAAAGCCCTTGCGCATTGTGTCGCAACGCGAGCCGCCGTTCGCACTTATGGCCCACCCGCAGAAATACCGAAATAGTGTGCGGCGCATGTAGGCCCGCGAGGCTTGCAAAGCAAGGTGTGTAGCTATTTGGGTTCGCGAGGGGGAAGCTAATGTCTCTAGATTTTTCCCTGAGGGGAGCAAACGCTATTCCAAAACTCATATGGCGCCCGCAACTAAACCAATGCCTGCAGTGCCTGCGAACGATATTCTAAACCTCCCTAATATCTACAGGGCGCGGCGCTTATGGAGTGAGCTTAGTAGGCGATGCACTGCAAGCAACTAGCTAGGGGCGCGCTCAGCGTGGCGTACAATGGTAACGCATTTCATGTATAGCCACACCAGTTTTGCTAATTGATAGCCATACCAATGTACACAGAATGTCAAAGCCTGACGAATCGTTCGTCAGCTGTGCCACTACTTCAGCATGTATACTCTCTTCATATTCCGTAATGATATCATGGCAGTGGATATGGTCATGCGAATAAGCTGAAGTGTTTTTCTGTGCAATGGCTAACATAGAAAATGCCATGCACTTTCATTAGTGTTACAGTAGAAGCGTCGTCATGTATAGTTCACTGCTAACGGCAGGGCACGGCAGGGATTAATTAATGTGCAGTTCCGCTGCGTTCCCAACAGCGCCTTTGAAAATTCGTTGTATGCGCATCCCACTCGCGCAGCAACTTCTCCTGCAATCAACCTTTTGTTACACTGTTGCTGCGATCTCGCACTTTTGCCAACGTCAGTTGACAACCGTCGGCAGCCAGTGCGCCGAAGAGTGACGATTCGGCAAAATAGTGCCCTCGTCGTAGGGAGTTGTGGCTTTGTTACAAAAAGATGTTCTATCACACCTCAGTAATCATGTATCTCATGCACTTACCTGGTGTTATCATGATCATGCAGCTATCAGCACAACACAGCATTCTTGATAAGAAAATGACGAGCGTCCAGTCCTCGAGAAAGGCAACAGAAGCAATCGAAATAAGAAGTATCCATGTGTAGTTGAAAAATGCCGCAAGTACTATTTCTCTTAGTGGCTTGACCGGTGAAAACGGGAGAAAATAAAAAGAAAACTACAAAATTGAGGTTTTTCGAGCCAAAACTTATAGTGTGGGAACCTGGATCAATTGAGACCACCGAGGCTGCCTTAATAATCGCTTACACTTAAGTACACGGGGGCACACATTAAAGAACCCCAGGTGGTTGAAATTTCTTAAGTTTTCCATTATGGCATCTCTCATAATCATCGGTGGTTTTGAGACGTTAAACCCCACATATAAATCGATCAATTAAATACACAAATGTCGACTGTTACACAATCAAACCAGTGGCCTCTTGCTCAATAGTCATCATGGCAGGTACGAAAGCTTTTCTTTCTTTTTTTTTTTTGTAATAAAGTGCTACCACATAAAAAAAGAGCTACAAAAGGTTTGTTCAACATGTGGATTAAACCCAAGACATCAGTGACAAACTGAATTATTACATTCTTATGCTTTCTGGCAAGTATAGATGGTGGCCTTTTTTTACTTTTGTGCACAATAACTGACTATAAACAATTGTACTGTTTCTAACATGAATGTATGATTGAGTGAAAAATTACTAATGGAAAAAAATGGGACCTCTTCATTATTCGGCATTTGATTTGTATTCGAAGCTATGTATTCGTATTCAATTCGCATTCGAAAGTTTTGATATTCGCACAGCCCTACTTTTGAGGCATTTGAGAGGCACATGGCCGTGGATGTCCCACTTTCTGTCAAGTCATCACGATGATGCCACCTCCTAGCTGAATCTGTTTGTACAATCTGCCAGTCAAGTATTGCTGCCATTGCAAGCCTATTTTGAAAAGAGTACTTCGTAACAATAACCTCTTCTGCTCCTAAAGTAATCGAACAGGCTGTATATTACATAGGCAGCTTTTATCATGAGTCACCTGAGTAGCGAATATTTACATATAAGTGGTACCACGTGTTAACAAAAACAACATTTTTAAAGGGTGCCAATGCTCAAACATGTCAATAAGCAGCTGCATATATACGCGACTAGGGCTTTTGCACCAGTTCAAATTTTCGAAAATTGGAAGGTTAACATCACAGTACCTGATTTATTGACAAAATAAATTGGGTACTGTCATGTGCTCCCTTTGCGCTGTGATGCATCCGTTTGCGCTTCTTCACTTCCTGTGTTCGTCCGCTTGTATGCGCAACATTACATACCATGGACATCAGGCTTCGAGGGGGCTTGCACTCAATGAATGAGCCAAGAGCAACCCACGTGAAAGAAAGTTTCGGTGCCATGGTAACTAACCCACACAGGCTTACCACGCTTGTGTACTGGCTGTGAAGGTGCAAGCTCAGGTAACAAAGACAGAAAGCGTTAAAGTTTGTGGGGAAAAAACGTTAAAATCGTTTTTTCCCCCACAGAAAACCAAAAAGCCAAAGAGGCAGTAATGCACATTTGATGCAGATGTGAGCATGCGTTCCGGGTCAAATGTGGAGTGCATGCAGCTGACAAGCAGCCAGAGCCAAGCTGGAGCAAATGGACTTCACTGTGGCAGAAGTCGTCTATGCACACCTACAAGACTATAACAGTCGCACTTGAATTTATGAATATTATTCTGATTTGTTGTATTGACATGTATATTTTTAATTATGTAACTATTGTTTGTATTTCTTGCATTTCCTTACACTTGTATCCAATACTTTTCCTGCAGCTCAGCTAACTACAACTAAGAACGAGCCTCTGCAACCGCCCTTCAATAGGCTCTGAGATCCTACCTGCATATTAATAACCAACAATTCCATGTATTTTACATGCAATGAACTGATTGATTGATTGATTCATTCATTCAAGTCATGGAAATGTTAAAAAAATTGTTTTTGGTGATTACATGCTGCACATTCTGGAAGTGCTCTTGAATGAGCTCAGCAAACATTAAATCATATTTTGTAATGCTGCGTACATTTGAGGGCTAGTTTTTTTTTTTTTTTTCATTAGAGAATATTAGTGCAAACTAACAGACAATGATGCGGGAGCATTCCACGTTTGCCACAATGGCAACAGGGGGTGCTGACTGGCACTCCCACATCGAATGTTTCCTATAATTTGGATGGCAGGATGACCGCCACTGTAGATCAGTGGTACAATATCGAACGTGCTATTCGAAGGTTGCAGCTTTGGATCGTGCCGGTGGCAATTAAATTATCTGTTTGTTCACTTTTCTTTCTTCGCATTTAAATTACAAGTAAGTCTAATAACATCTTCTATGTACTTCTCTTGGCATCCTTGTCTGTTAGTTCTCATTATTATTGCGTCCTTTCTTTTGTTAATCTTATAAACTTTTTTTTTAACACACTTCTCGAAATAAGATTTCATAAATGGCATCACTGCTTGTTTTTGGTACAAAATGCACAAGGCATAAAAGCCTTGTGCATTTGCATTTGCCAAGTACAGATGAAATAGCAAAATGATGTATCGACACCAGATATTGCGCCCGGCAGAGACAAAGGGCACGTTTGCGCCGAAGCACTGAAAAGGACATCACAGCAGACAAAGAATGGTGAAGGGACTGCTCTTTATTTGAAGAGGACATGTAACTAAGAAATTGCCCTGGTGAGGCGTTATGTGACACGTTATTCAAAATCGAAACTGGACAAGAATTAACATGACTACAAAATTAGTAACCTAAATTTAGGACATGAGATACGCTACACCACACATGAGTAATGGGAAAAGCATATGAAGGCATCTGAGAAATCAAAGAAGCTATGTGAGTGGGGTAATGGCATGTGTAGGGTTAGCACAGGAGGTGAGTCGTGAAAGAAGTAGCATCTAACATCATAAATCATTAGATTTACAAGTAATATAAAATACCTTCTATCAATTACTTCTTTCTTGGCCGATCCACCAAAGTGGGTGAGAGCCATGCTTTTAGGCCACTATTATCATCATCACTTTGTGCTAGACAGCAGTATCATCATCATCACCTTGCACTCCACCACCACCACTCTACTGGCATCACGTCTTACCTTCAAGCAGTGGTTCAAGGTGAGGTGCCCAGCTGTCTACCATGTTGATGAACTTAGCCTCGCCCTGGTTGGGGTCCAGGAGCCAGTGGGCAAGTCGGGGATCCTCCCAGCCAAGCCGAGACGGGTCGAGGCTGCAGGGCCTGGCCAGAAAACGCAGGGCCTCCAACAAATCGGGTACGACCACTCGTTTGGCAGCTACCAGGAGACGCGAAAGCTGGTCCCTTTGTGCGGGTGATATGCCATCTGCATAGCAACACTTTTTTCAGCACACACAGCCACAAAAGAAATTTTAGTTACTGACCCTAAAAGAACACATTTCAAAATGTGTTAAGCCTAAATAAGAGTCTAAGGTTTCTGTATTTCTATAGTCAAGAGTCCGACATAATCACATCTAGTTGGGGACAAGCATAGTGGTATAAAACTAAAATGCCGACTAAGGTAATATACAGAGGGTAGCCTTGTTGTGTACAAGGCTCCCGTGCAGAAGCCGAGAGATCTTTTCAAATTTTTGTGCATTTTACCTTAGTCACTGTTTTTGCTTTATTCCACAAAGTAAAAGGTTGCACAAAACAATGATGCATTCGCAAAGAAGGGCACGTTGCCTATGACAAGGCCTTGTGCCATAAGGAGTTCAAGGTTACACTTGTCCCCATGCCCTTCAATGTGAGCATGTTGTTACTTCCTGCACCCTTTTACTTTCAAGTAGTTAATGACATTTACCTGCTTAGTTCTTCATCTTCATTCTGCAAGAGACTGGCATGCTATGAATGCACTCTGTCACATTACCCACTAAATACCGGCACAAATTTTTCTATAGGCAAGACCATGGAGAAAGAAGTACTTGAGTAGTAGAATCTTTTAGGCAATGGTAGCAAGCGGAGGTGGCACATTAAAGCTACACAGGAAATGCTGTTTTCACTGCCCCACCTCACATGACGCTTTCCGTGTGTTCAAAATGTTTGCATGCTCTTCTATGGACATGACACATAAATTTCTAGTATCAGCCTGTGAAATTTCTCCGATTTCTGTCTGTAACATCAACTAATAGATATGACAGATATTAGGGGACATGCAAGTTGCAAAATGCAAGGTTTTCCCCAAATTATATATATTTTTATTATTATTTGCATTCGCAAGTTTAGTTTCCTTACATTGACAAAAAAAAATAGGAGATTGCAATTAAATACAAGGTAGGTTAAAGCTGCTTTTTAAGAGCACAGGGTGGCTACAAAAAACAGTTAGTACTTGTCTAGAGTTTTCTTGAAAGTGTCACCTGGCTTCTTACCATTGCATTTCACACAAGCAATTCACGAAAGCCACATGCTCAAAATAACCATGACTCCCAAGCTATCATGATAGAAGAAATTATTTTAAAAACATATCTTTGCCACAGAGATGAGCTTTCGTTTACAGTAGAACCTCAATTATACGACTTTCAGAGGACTACGCAAAACCGTCGTATAATCTGGGCGTCATATAATCGAAAAACTAAGATCATAGGAAGCGACATACAGCCTTGCCTAAAAGACGGGTACAGACTGCATGAATAAGCCCACAACACGACCTTGTGTCTCTGCAAGGAAGGTAGATTAAATCACTCTTGCCAGTGGCAGCTAATGGCAGCCTAACTTAGTTAAAGAAGGTGTAAGCAAATCTTTATTTTCACTCTTAAAAGGAAAATGAAATCCAACACACATCTTTCTGCCAATATATACAGTTTGAAATTGCCTGCGCGTTAAAGCAAAACCAAAATCACGATGCCAACATCCTACCATCAGACGAGTCAGGCGCAGTGTCATCGCTATCACACAGTGGCAATAGACCATAATGCCCTTGTGCGCGACTTCGTGCGGGTTGTAATTTGTTGTTTTATGAAGTACAACTAGTGGTGTCCCCCTCTTATTATGAACTTTCACATCAAGTGAAAGTAATTTTGCAAGATTAAAACAGCTGCGTCGCGCTTTTGTGTGTGCGCAAGCTTGTGACTGCGAGTGCGACAAAGGCAGGAGATCAGCTGTATCAGCTGAGGCAGCTGATCAGCTGTCGACTAGGAAAAGCTTCCATAGACCGAAAACGTGAAAATATCAGCTTTACGGCCGGCTGTGTGGATAGAACTTGACTAGGTAACGGCCCTAGATACGTACGCACGGAATCGAGGCGTATGTAGAAGCGCATGAACTTTCAGGAGAATAAATTTTCTATTCTAAGAAGACGTCTTTTCTCACACTCTACTTTTTTAATCATCAACCTAGGGGAACACAAGTTAATATTTTGCACTTGTGAATATTTGGTCGACGTTCGATTCGAGTAAAGGTGTTTTTTTTCTTTCGGACAGAATTTGAAAGTCGTAAGATGCGGGGTCAGTGTAAAACTGCATCATATAACCAAGGTATTTAATACATTATTAACATGATAGCGTTAGAGAGCTCGTGCCGCAGAAATTCCGCCATCGGCATCGGCCCCATAGCCCCGTTGCTTGTGAGCGAAAAAGCTCGTTGCAGAGATCGCCGCTGGAGACCGCTACTTGTCTACGTGTGCGGCCGCGATCACACTAAAAAAGCCGCAAGTTCGAAGAAAAAAAAAAGTGCTCAAGGTCACGAGGCCCTTGCCACTCCTCGCTGCTTCGCTTCCAGTGCTTTCGTCGGGACGAGCGAAGCGAGAATGCAATTGCTGCATGCGACAAACCATTGTAACTCCACTCATACTGGACGGATTCTTAAAATTTTTGCGGAGTTGAATTTGTGAGGCCATAAGGTCTTCTAGTGAATTCATTCCATGGTTACTTAAAAAAGTGTTTCAGGGCCCCTTCAACGCATTTGGTTCGACACGTGTCACGATGAAAACAAACTCATTTAGCGATTTGCAGGTGCCTTTGAGAGGCTTCAAACTACGTTGAAAAAGGCCGGGATAGTGCTGCCATCGCCGCTAAAAACACACAGGAACTTTTAAACAGCTCTAAAAATGGACAACTATGTCCATCTAGCGGAAAACATATCGTGCCTTTCCAGAGGCATGATAAGTTTTTGAATATTCGAATATTCTCACAAGCCTATAAAATGCCTTCTAAATTCCTCGTGACCTAGTGAGGCTGGAAGTGTGGTCGTGTACCATGCTGGTACATTAAGGGATCAGGAGCTCACATCTTGTGACTAAGCAAACAGCAAACGCTAGATAATGTGCTGCTATCTGTGAGGCATTGTCAGACTAATTATGGCCTCCGAATTTTTCAAGCATGTGGTGTGTATCTTAGAGGCCATGCAACTTTTGCTTTAGATCAAAATCCTGTATGTACTATTCGCATGCACGCGCTGGTACAATCTACTGTGTGTGTGTGTGTAAGAAAACATATAAATAAATATGCACTTAGCGATTGAAGGGCGTGCTAGGGGCCGGATTTCGCTATCTGGTTCAACTCTTGAAGGCGAAGCTTAAGGGGCCCCCATTTTTTTCTGTGGGGCCAAACCAATTTGCCTTAAAATGCAGGTCGTCGGGAAACTGGGGGACGTATAATTGAAGTTCCACTGTTCACCATTGAAATGCATTTTTCTCAACATGCAATTTCGAGCAGCTTCTTGAGTTATGACATCATGTTTTTGATATTTCTAATAGCCATATCAGGATCAAGTTTTGCCCACGTGTTCCTTAACATGTGAAGAGTACAAGCATCAGCTTTAAAACTTGATATTGCCTACGTAATTGCTACGAACCTATAGTAAGCAACCAGTATGATCTGAGCATTCTAAGACTTTTCAAATTACAATTTTTCTTGTCCATTAAAATATTGTATGCACACTTTCACTTTAGTTATTTGCATTCTCCAGCTAATATCAAGCAATATGCACAATTAATGGCTCAGAACAATAAAATTTAGTGACAGAAAAAATGTGTCCATAAAGAACTATATATTACACATTGTCACGGTACAAAACGAAAACTATGCAACTTCCTATAAAACTCATTACATATTCCAAATAAGCATAAAAGCCTATGTATAGTACAGTGAAAATTTAATTTCACTAGGCTATAGATTGAAAAAACTTAGCTTTTGAGTCGCATGCCCCCTTTTTAGTAGCAGCTGACAATAGATACTGCCCGAGTTAAAGGTCACACTGTGATTGAAACAGGCTGCTTGTTTTAGTTCCTGAACAGACGACATCTGTTGCATGCAAGGGCCCCTCGCACGCATGTTATGCGCACACAAGTGTATGTGGCATTGAGAGGGAAATTTCTCAATATGTGCGAGCAGGCTGTCGTGCATTCCTATATGGTTTGCACGCTTTCTGTCTCTTTAGTGCACTGAGTGGCTTCCGCATTGCGTTGGCGACACTGACTTCTCAATCTTCGCGTGCACTTTTCATGCCACAACACAGGAGCTTTTTCATGAAGGGGTGGAAATGTGTTGTGCCAAACTGTAGTGGTGGTACCTACTGTTGCAGTTTAGCACGACACACTTCCTGCAAGAAGAAGGTAAAATACTAGGCTTGTGCGAAAGTGAACTTTAGGTTCGAAGCCAATTCTAAGCAAATGATGATTTTGGTTGAATAATTTCGAACCAAATTTGCATATTATCCATGACGATGGCCGTGTTTATCATGACCTAACTAACCTGCACAATATATATATTTTGTAATTGAAACAAGGCCTTTATGCAAATGTCTTTCTTTTTTTTTCGTTCAAAAGGAGTTGAAACAACTTTGAGTAGTAGCAGGATCATACTTTTGGTAGGATGCGAGTGATAACCTGCAAAATACGTAACATTTTAAAATTCATTATACCTAGAGCATATAAGCCAGCATAACCAGCTTATAAGCTTGAAAAATGGTGAATTGACCTGAAGGTGATAATGTTCATTTGAAGCGACCCTGCAAGTAGCCATGCAATGGATTCACTAACGAAGTTTATTGTCTCATGCATTCACCATCACAAAAGCTTTTATAATCTGTTCAGTAAGAGCGGAGTTACAAATATTTATCACATGCTGCAATTGCATGCTCTCTTCTCATCTTGACCAAAACTCTGGAAGCTAAGCAGGAAGGAAAGGCATGAGAAAAGAAAATTAGTCAAGTGCACCTTGTGACCTTGCACACTTCTCTTCTTTCTTTTCCATTCGAATAAGCGGCTTTTCAGCGCAATCACGCACACACACGTGAACAAGTCACGACCTGCCAAGATGGCCCCAGTAACGACCGAGCGCCATGCTAAAATCAGCCAATGGCTGATACAATGACTGTGACGAGTTATTT